CAGGACCAGGATGCTGCAACCCATCACTTTCTTGAAGATAATCAAAGTGATTACAAGACCCACATTGGCTTGTGTACATTAGGAGAGTTATAAAGGCTGGTGTATGCTTATACAGGCTGGTATATGCTATGATTAATACTGAGGAGCTCTGCATGTCCCAAAGTGGCATTTTCCTGAGCTATGGGAAGCAGAAAGTGGGAGTAGCCTCTTGACACAACATGCACTCTGGAGAGTGAGAGAGAGCACAAAAGGAGGACTATGTGACACATGGGTGATGCTGTTTCCAGTGATCCAAAGGTTAGGGCACATCTCTGGATGAAGGCTGAGGATGTGCAGAGAGGAAGAGATCAATCTGAAAGCTTAGCTCCCACTAATCTTCTAGGGAGAGAGAGTAGATTGAGATTAATGAAAGCACCAACACATCATCCAACTCCAACAGACATTGATACTTCACTATCAGTGGAGACCATTTGCCAAGTTGTATATCAGATACTGTTTTAAGCTTTGCTTGGGGACATTATGTTTTTCTCAAAAAGCATATAACAGTTACAAGTGCTTAAGCAATCAAAAAGAATAATGCCATAGGTGAATCTTCACATTCTTATAAAATATTTTTTAAATGTTACTTATGTTATTCTGACACCATAAAGGGAAAACACAGCACTTGTATCTTCTGTGCAGAGATTTTGCCATTTATTCCTCATGAACCCTAGTGCATATATAGGCAGGGTATATTCAGCTGGCAGTAGAACGCGGCATTCACCATCCTCACCTGTTCTGGCCAGCACATGCTTTGTAGCATCTAACACCTAATGAGGTACAACAACATACCCTGCTCCACAGGTCCTGGACAACGTGCTTCTGCAAAGCTACAGAAATACAAAGGGTATGCCCATACCCTCAGCTAAGCACACAGCTGAGACTGCACTAAAGAGTCAGGCCAGCTCATTGCCTACAGAATTCACCCTCAGATGTGACAGGTCTGAGCTCCAAGCTGGAAAGTGCACACCAGTGGCTCATCTGGCTGCATTTAAACCTGCTTTCATCTCACATTGCTGACTCAGTCTGAGAGCCCTTGACCTTCTCTGATACCAAAGTGTACCTTTAGGATAGGCTCTTACTCTGCACCATTCAAAAAGGTGATGGCCAGTGTTGTGACACGGCCTGCTTCTGACTACAGATCACATACCACTGCTGTTTTCCTCCTTAAAACAGTTGTTTTCCTCTTTGCCTTAAACCTCCCCTCTTCCCAGCAGCTTGCAGAGTTTCTGTGCAGCATTCCTAACCAGGCTGCACTGAGTGCAGCTCAGGACACAGTCCACTCTATATGCTCTCTGGTATTTTGCATTTCTCTCAGATTATTAAAGGGAGAAGAAAGGCTCAGAGGCATTATTTATTCAATTCAGAAACAACCCGTTATCACTGTGTTACATTTCTAACATGCAAACACCACTACACAGCACCAGGAGAGAATCTGTTATCCCTGAAAAAGAAATTACATGCTCTTTTGAAATCAAAAGAAATGCCCTGCTGTCGATGAATTTATTCTTGGTTACAGCACAAGGAAGTTTTTGCTTTTCCTCCCCCACCTCTCATCCAAATTTCTTCCCCAGGGTTGCGGAGCACGAGATGAGCAACGCGACCTTGCAATGACAGAATTTTAATGTGTGGCTGGTGCACCAAAAGCAATGCAGCAGCGTCTCCCCTCTCGGAGCTGCTATGTGCACCAGACATTTATGTAACGCTGCTTCTCATCCTGAAGGCTGCCCTCACCTGGGGTCAGCAGCAACCAACACAGAATCTATTTAGTCAACTGTCAAAGCTACTTGCAGCTGGCACAGAGACCTACACGCTCCAGGATTTTGGTAAAGAGGAGTTAACAGGTAAAGCCATTCCCAACCCCAAAGCTTCAAAACAGAAGTAGATGTTTTTTTGAAACAGGTTAACTAGAAAGTGTCAATGGTGGATTTATTTCAAACAAATTGCTTATTTCCTAGGTGTTTACTAAAATATGCTAGTTTTCTGACATGCTTTATCTCTGAGTTGTGCTTAGAAAGGCAATGTCTTTGCAGATATTAGTTCTCAAACCCCAGGGAGACTTTGAATCCACATCCAGGCAATGGGGCTTGCTTGTAATTTCTAGAGCTGAGGAGCCAGGAAAAATGTCTCACTCCTTCCCCTTTGCTCCCAGGTTCAAAATATTTCATCCTGTTCATTGCTGGCATTCATCATGCTCTCCTGCCCTCCTCAGTTTTCTCAGCAAACTCAGGTTGACAGCAGTTTACCTGGAGCTTCACGAGCTGCTCTTGGCTTCCCCCTCCTGGTTGAAAAGTACAGATGATTAGGAAGAAAGTCCAGATTTTGGACTGTAGAATGGACAGACTTTGCCAGGAAGAAGCAGACAGCTTGTAAAAAGTTTTTGCAAGGACCGACATCCTCAGAAACCCAAGGGCTTTGTTAAGAGGCAACCTACAATTGGCACGGTGGCTGTCTCCAGCTTTCTCTCCTTGCTCCTGTACAGCTCCAACAGCCGTCTCTTCTATGATCCTTCTAGAGAATACAACACTTCAGGCAGAGCAAAACCTTGAGCATCCACTACAAGTTTGGAGATATCATAACTTCAGAGGAAGTTCTCAGCATTCCATGCTACCATGACAGATCCCATCCCTCTTACAACATGGGTGATATAACCAGCAGGATACTAAACCTTCACAAATATTCATCCAGCCCTTTAAGGAGCAGCATTTGTTACTCAAAACCTTTGCACAAGAGCATTCGTTACACATCAGTCCAGCAGAGGACTCAGGGTTCAACCCTAAAAGGTGCTGGTTAATTAATCTCCTGTACCTACAAAGGACATTCCAGAGCTTCTGAGTTTTACTATGTTTAGTATAGACACTAAAATATCAGGCTCTTTATGAGAATGAAGAGTCTCATTTCAGCTCCATGCGTTTCACCACTGCATCACTACAGTGGCCTTAATGAAACACACCAGCAGCAGAGACGATGCAAACTCCAAATCACCATTCAGAGTTCAGTCCTCAGCTGTACTCCATATATCCCTGAAGAATGTACATTCATTGCAGAAAAGCTCGGTTCAGCATGGGCACCAGTGGCATTTTGATTAAACATTGCTGCTAAATCCTCTTTGTTAGAACAATAAAAACTGGTGTTATTTGTGAGGGGTGGGAATTCTGCAGACAGATCAGACGCATAATCCAGAGAAGAACAGATCCAGCTTGTCTTAAATCACACTGGCATGTTTATGAAATGATTGCCAGGCTCAAGTGAAAATTAATCTCCCTAGAAGCCCTTTTATATTTTTAAACAAGTAAACATTGCATTTTAATAACAATGTCTCTTCTCTGATTTACAGGGCTTGAATTGCTATAGGCAATGACTAGTTAGCCTCCTGCCTGATTCTCTGAGCAATATCTTGTAGTTGGAAACTATAACCTGGTACGTTAGTGTTGAGTAGTCTTTTCTCTTAGGCAGCTGTTCTAAAAGCAAATTTCTTACCAAACCATTACTTCTCTGCCCTGTTAGGCTGTTACAGCTGAATTACTGTTTCCAATGTGTGCTCACAGGTTGCTTTGTGCTTATACCTGACTCCGTGCATGGATGTAGGCACAGGCAGCAGTTCCCTCACCTGCAAGGCACATCTGCTAACCTGCTAGGCGAAGATCTGCAATCAAAGGAAACGATGAGGATTTGGGCCCACAGTGGGGATGCAGTGGAAGCTGAATGTGCGCAGTGCTTTCATACACACCGTCACATCAGGCTTGTGTGGGCAGGAGTCTTCAGAGAGAGGGTTTATCTCTTTTCCCTCTACAGCAACTGTTCTCTAGTCCGTTGTGGCAAAACAATCAGCATTTTGCAGAAAAATGGATTTGGCTTAAATTTTCTACCCTAAGTAGTGCAGTCACTGGTGAGGTGTCTGTGGGTATGCACTGGGGTCCTCTCCCCAGCCCAGGTTCAAGGTTGTGATCTCTCATTCTCCTTTCAGTTTCGTCTCCTAGAAAAGCAGATAAAACACCAAAGAAGAACTCATATGCTATTAGTACCATATGCTGCAATAGGGAAGTGTTGCTCCAAACCCAGGGCTGGAATAATCATCATGGAGAGATGGACTGTCCTGCAGACTTCAGAGGTGAAGGTCTCTCCTCATCAGCCCTTCCCATGCTCCCTCAGGTCTCACCTCTGCAGCCCTTTGCTCCAGCAGTGAACATTTACTCACACAAGTAATATTAGAGTTATGGGAACAGAATTGCCCGGGTAAATCCAGTTAATCCAGCTGTTGGCCGTGTAAAGCTCCGAGCCCCACACTGCTGTACAAGGGCTGGATTTGGAGGGAAAGGGAATTGCAGGGAAAGGGCTTGGTTCCCCTCACGGCATGAAAACACTCCTGTTTTAAAGAAAAGTCCTGAAACGTTATGATGAATAAAACACAGAGTTCCCGCTGAGCAAACACTGAGAAGTCTGCAGCTTTGTGACAGACTGAGCAAGAAGTGGCAGAATACATGGTGGGATCCTTCTCCTGCCAGCAGGACACTTATGACAGACTCACTTACAGGACTCAGTTTAAAGCATAAAGAGACATTCAATTATGTAAATCCGGTTGATCTGTAAATGTGGAATTAAGTGCTGTCAGCCTTCACTTACTTGCCTGGCACAGAGTTATATTTTCATGTATGCTTGGCTTACAGATAAAAAAGCTACGGAGTTTAAAAGAGAGCTCAGCTGGGTTTTGCAAGCTGGTGACACACTCAGAAGCAGCAAGGACAATGCAGCCTGTAGAAAGACCATGTTTATCATAACATCTGCCACTCCTGAAGCTAAGTCACAGTCAATAACCCTTAAACTTTTTGCCCCTCTAAATAGCACAGCTCAGGGAAAGGGAAAAAAGCAACTGAGGCTTTTAGCCTTTCCACAAACTCACCCTCACCTGGTCTAGCAATTAGTCATGTGAGCAACAGAGAGGTTTGGTCAAATGGAGCTTAACACAAAATAAAACACAAATACAGTTGCATAGCAATTAGACCTTTTCACTGCAGGTGCACTGAAGTGATCCTGAAACATTAATGAAGCCTCACAACACTGCAGAAAGGTAGGGAATCCCAAGCCTGTTTTACAAGTGGGTCAGCTGAGGTTGGTACAGGACAAAGGCAGAAAGAGGAGACCCTGGCTCTGCTTGCACCTTGTCTGACAGCACTGCCTAATAGAACAACAGGCACTGAGCAATCCCACACCCAGCGACAGCTCCTGCTACAATGCAGAGCAAGAGCACAGTACCAGTATTATTATTTTAATTATAAAGCACTACCTATGCAGAGGCTGAGCCAGAAAATATCATCTGTTTTAGCACAGAGCTAAGTACAAAACTAGCTGCTCATTATACGGTAATGGAACAGGTATCTATCAGAGAGGAGATGTTAACCCACAAACAATGTCGTGATTAGATGACTCTAAACTGTATTTAAAAACCATTAGATACTAGATCCTAAAACAAGAGGAAGAAGATCGCTCTCTGGTTGTGGTTAATAGATGCAGTCATGATTTCAATCATGCTTTAAGCTAACTGCCAGCAAAGAAAAAACCCTGCGGTATCGGCAATACCCAGAATCTATGCATTTTGCCATCAATTTTGTTTATTATAAAATCCATGCAGCCAGTGTTAGAAATAAATCATAATGATCTAATCCTTTTCTGCATACCTCCATTTTTACAGTGACAGATGAATGAGATCCAATGGGAAAATAATGATCCTTCCAGCCTCAAAAAAAATAAATATTAAAATTGGTAGCTGCAATGTAGGCTCCCATCTCACACTGCATTTCTATTTTGGCTTCGCTCTCCTGTAGGCTACTTTGAGAATTCTCGTCAGTAGGAACACATCCATCTCTGGCTCCTTCCTTCCCCCACGAATTTCAAATTGGGCAGAGCCAAAGATAAAAACTCCAGTGCAAAGTCCAGACACCGAGGAACATGCTCCCATGTGGCTTCACTGCTGCACCTCCATCCTGCTTCTCCTCGTAGGGCAGCTCCTGAGGAGAAGCTGCCAAGGCACCAAGGCAAAGACTAACTCATTTTCACTAGTTACACATACAACATGCCTATACACCACCTACTACAAAAATGCTTCCCTCTGAACACTGATACTTCTAGACCCCTTTACAGAGTTTGTGTTGCCAGCTGAAAATTAGTGTCTTTCCTACTATAATACAAAAAGGTATTCACTGGAAAGCTGCAAACCAAATCAAATCCACTGTGCTAAACACAGGTGAACCATGGGCTTGAGAGATGTTGAGCCATCTCATGTCTGTGTGTGCTACGGGGCGATGCTCCCAAGCTTCTGCTGGAGTTTAAGGGGCAGGTTATCAGTAAGTGAAAAATGATGCTGCTCTATTAAGATGCACTAGAGTCATGATTATTTCTGCCAGCTGAGTGCCTGACTCCTGCTTAAATGTCTTCATCTCAGCGAAGTAAGGTAAAGAGAGTAAAGAAGAAATAAAGGAAGTTGCACTGGCTACTGGATGGAGGGACAAAAAAAAAATGCTCCTCAGAACCAAAAAGTTTTAAAGTGCCTGTTTCGACCTCTAGCCCTTTCATGGCAACTATGAGCAGAGTGGAAAACAATGGCAAGGAGAAGGGAAGGGGAGGTTAAATTTGGATGTTTCAGCTTCTCCCCTTTGGAACTTCCTGAAACCTCACTGCTGCTCCTGCAAAGCTTCTGTCTGCACACATGGTGCAAAGAGCCACAGTAATGAAGGCTTTGTTCTTACTCAGCTGCAGATCTGGCCTGATCCTGCTTTCAAGGACATCAGTGCAAATAGAGTGACTCCAGGGAAGGTACTCGGAGGATCACAGTCAACCAAACATACTCTGGGACCTCTAAAACTGTATTTCAACCTGCTGCATTGTAAAATAATCAGTAAGAGCATCTGAATACTTGAAGTATTTCACATTCAGGGCATGTGAGTGCAGAGTGAGTGCAGCTTCCATGTTGAGTGCGTGGCATAATAAAACATCATCTCCCGTCTGCTCCCGTTAATCGCTTTCCTTGCTCCATCTTTCTGGCTGCACAAATCACACGTATTTTGCAAACTCACTGAATGCTGAATCAATGCAAGATAAAGAGTTCTCCACCTAGAGTTGTTTCCTTGTCAAAAGGCTGTGATTTATATCACACAAGTCTGCCCACAGGTGCTACACAGTTGTGCTCACTTTTCTATAATTAACTTACATCTTTCCCCATATTCCACCCTCTCTTCCAGTCAGGGTGGGAATATTCACATCCATTACAGAAGCAGACTAGCGAGAGTAACACTCTATATTTTAAATACAGAATCCCAATTCTGCAAGATATAAAATCTTTAATATGGAGTGTTTTCACCCAAGGGCCATGAGATTTGTATACCAACAAAAGCAATAGTCTTTGTAATAGTGTTGTTTTGTCATTTGGATTAACCTGAGGTTTGGTTTACTGATGCAGCTTCAGAGGACTGGAAGTGGAAGAAGTTCAAACGTTCCACAGATTCTTCTTCCATCAGCTTTTAAAGCAATTCTGTCTCTCCTCAGCTTCTGTACTTTTTAATTAACAGAAACAAATCCAAAGAATCACTGCTGCTACAAATATTGTGCAAGTGCATTTGGGCTTGAGCATAAGCACTTATCATTTGTTGGTATACTGCTGCATCCATCATTTTCCAAAGTCTTAAATAATCATAAATAAGAAAATCTGTGCTATTCTTTGGTACATTTCTGTCTGTTTAAACCACAGCTGAACTTTTAAGTTGTACAAACAAAAAATTGCACTTTTATCTTCAAGAGAGTCTTGCAAGTCCAACAGACTTTCAGCTGAAGGATTCTTTATTATACTCAAACCTTGTCCCATAAGAGTTGCTGCTGTTGCTCAGTTTATGAAGTATCTTAGAGATTTTGTTTGGTCCACAACAGAAAACTCCAATGGTCTTCCTGTTAAAAGAAAAAAAAGCAAAAAAAAAGACATTATGACATAGCAAATAAACAGTAACTTCTAATGATAGATTTGGATTCTGGCCTCACTGTATCATACAAAAGCCAACTATGCATAAATTTTAAGGTGAGAACAGCTCACTAGATCATGTAGGTAGTATTACTGCAGTCACCAGATTTCTCCCAAGTAGCCCCACACAAGCCCTATTACCTATTTGACTAAAAGACAACTCTTAGAAAAAGGTACCTCGTCTTAGTGTCAAGCCACCAAGTGATGAAAAATTACTACTTCCCACTCTAATTTTTTCCATGATTAATCGCTTTTTGGAGGGTTAAAAATGTGCCTCACTGTAATGACTTCATTAGTGTAACTCGTGATTTACACCAGCAGGAGATCTAGTCACTAACGGTGATTCGTTACACTAATGAAAACAGAGCACTACTAACCCATGATTATTTCTGGCAGCAGCAGAATAATTTTACTGCTTTAGTTTCACATTAGCATGCAATCTTTCCTTCAGCAGCTGCATTGGAAAGTCTTAGGAAAAGCCAAACACAGAATGTGATCCTTGCTCTTCATCCCCAGCTATCGGCCCAGGTTCATTAGTTAACCTGACTTTTTCACACCACTCCACCGACAACAGCTCTTTGCTTTCTGGTCACCTTAGACACAGGCTGTAAGTCAGACTCACAGTCACACAGCATCTAAGGGCTCAGAACAGTAGCCAGCATCACAACAGGGCACATCCACAACAGCGGGACTGAGGCACTCATGATATTCATCATCTCCCTTTTTTTGAAAGATGAGGAGAAGGGAAAGGAAGGAGCAGGGAGAGGATGTGGAGCTGTCTCTTCTATATCATGAAAAACAATACATTTTCTTCATCTTCCTGCTGAAATTGTGCCACTGCAGAGAAAGACCCTAAAGATTTACTGGGATAGAGAGAGAGCATAGAAGAGGGAGCATGGCTCTAACTATTGTGATCTACAATGCTCAACAAAGAGACTGGAGACTTGAATTCTGGTCCCTGTCTCCAGCACAGCTTCAGTATTTTATACAGTAAATATTTAACATCAAATATCTTAGCACATGCAGGGTAATCAAATGCACCATTTAAATCTGCCTGTGCATGTGCCTGGTGAGAGAAGGGAACTAGCACATATAAGAAATCTTTGATGCACAGTGTCAGGTATATGTGCCTGACGTTAGGCAGCAGCTCGAATAGCACAACAGTCCATGCTGTACCAGTGCACAGCAACACCAGCACGGCACAACTGAGGGATCAAACATCAAAAAGCATCACAAAGTTACGCAGGTAATACCACCAGTGCCCTTGTGCTTGTGCCACTTTACAACTCTGACTTTAATTGCCTCCAATTACATCGTCTCTCATATCAATCTATGGCAAATATTCCTAACTCATACTTTTCTCACCCTTATGTATATCTATTAAACTTTCTTGTCCTGGCAGTACTCCTTTTAACGGCAAAGGGGTGTTGTGTTGGTGTCTGGATTTACAGAAATAATGAGAGCACTATTGTTCATTGCTCTCAAGTAAGATCCTTCAGCACTTGCAGAACCTGAACACTGTTTAATCTGTTCACAGTAGAGAAAAAGGGGGCATGAGCTGCCAGGAAGAATCTGTCTTCTACTGTGTATTTACTTGAGAGAATTAATGTTGTTGGGTTTTTTTCATTAGTCTAATTACAGACAACTGATAAATAAAACCCAAAGAGTTCACCTGCCTCTCTGCCTTTCATTACATATATATAGCCTATATATAGCCTTATATATATATAGGACCTATATACAGGTCCTTCTCCATTTACCCCACCTCCCCTGCCTGTAGATACCTACCTCCCTGCCTCACAGCTACTACCTGGAGCAGCACAGGCTACTGTCTTGAGCTGATGGGCTTTAATTGCTTATCCCTTGTCTGGGACAATGGCTGACCTTGAAACGAAAATAGACAGCTAGGTATTGCTGAGGCATAATGTCTGAAAATCTGTTAAATACCACTAAGGTTTATAATTAAGGAAACTGTATTATAGGCCATTCTTTGTAATACTTATAAACATTAATATAGAATTTTATTCATTCAGAGCACTAAGCAAATAATTCCTTAGTGTTTCTATGGGATGGGTAGGTCAGCACACATTCTTATGTCCATTTGATGGACAGGTGAGGTGAGGGAAAGGTGAAATACTTTACTACCTAGAGAGGAAAGCGTCAGGACTTGAAATGTTCCAGCTTGAAATCCCATATTCATTCCTAGAGAGAGGTTTCTCCTTTACAGTGCACAAAAGATCTATCATGGTGCTCCGTGCCCTCCCCTCCTACAGATATTCATGTCTTTTTCTAGGTCAGGCTCCATTTGGAGAAAAGCACACAGCCATTCGAACTAAGCAAAATTGAGGCAGCGTGGCAGCCAAGGCACGGTGTAAGCTTTCCATCCAGGAGACAACTGAACAGGAAAAAGGTTGCTGCTCCATCCCCAAAAAGAGAGCACGAAAACCAAGACAAATTAATTGATTATATAAACTGTCCTAGTGCACGTCCTTGGGACTGCAGGTGTCATATGGAATACCAACAGTAGATGGCACACGGCTGCTCCTCTTGGTCCAGAAGAAAGAATTAGGAACCTGGTGCTGGGTTGTCCCATGTCACGCTCTGAAGGTCTGGCAAAGCTCAGGCACTTACAAATGCACTTTGCTTATTTGGGACCCAAACACCAACAACAGCGACAAGGCACAAACCACAAACCAATCAGATGGCTAAACCGAGGAGAAAATTGCCAGCTGCATGTTTATTTATGTGCAGATTTTACCAAAATCACAAGATAAAAAGTGGCTGCCCATAAACAAGCCCATGATTGCAAATACATGTGAAAGCCTGAACACTGGCACCAGATGTTGGAAAGAACAGGTTGCCCTGCCTCCTTTTTTTTGTTTGTTTTTTTTGTTTGTTTTTTTTTTCCCCTGCATATTGCAGCAGGGTCATTTAGGTGGAAAGTTAATGAGAAATACAAACTCAAATGGAGTTAGTAGGAGACCAGGAAATTGGACTATAGAGGAAAATGGAAGATTCCATCTCATCCAGGAAAACGAGGAGAATATTTGCCTACAACAGGTAAGTTTCTGTGGGACAGCTGAGTTACAGTTTGGACTACTGTCTATAAAGTTATATGTAACTATGTCTATGATACAGACCTGTATCCATAAGTCCTGTTAAAGGGGTGACAAAGAGTCAGGAAGCCTACATCTTAGCAAGCTGCAGGGCAATCAAACGAATCAGAACATTATTTAGGTACTAAAAGACTCCTGGTTTGGAAATGGTGGCACAATTTAAAGACCTGATGTGGAAATACAGAGGAAATGGTACTCAAAGTCTAATTAGGAGTAATGCACTGGAAAGCACAAAAGATAAAGAAAGCATGACTACCACTAATAGCTTCATCTATATTATGTGCACTTACAGCCTTGCAAGGAAATGGCAGAAACTTCATTATTTTCATCTTTTAAAACTGCACTCACATAGTTAAACAAAAAAACCCATCAGAACAGAGCATAGAAGGTCAACAGTTCTCTATGCAGAGGACTCTGAACCAGTCAACTTGCTTCTCTGACCTCTCTATTTCCCTTTCTTTCCCATGGATCTTTACTACAAAGATCTAAGTGACACTCATTTGCACATAGTAAGAATGCAGTAGGGATGTCCCTCTGTAGCAGCCTTTGGGGTGTCATGGCAAGGAACCCTGTCCACAATATCCTGTAGGACCTGAATCCAAGATACATGTTGTCTGCAGCTTATACTGCCATCAGTGACACATACTGGTGCTCAATATTTCTCAAGAGCCAGGGCTCAGTGTTCCCTAGTCATATCCAGCCTCAGAAGAGAAGAGTCAATAAGCCACGGGCAGATGTTCATCTTGCAAGTGCAATTGAGGACAGAAGTTATTGAGGGAAAGTTCTGCAGGTGAATGTGAGAGCAACTCTCAACCTGGTGCACTCAGATTACTAACAACAGCTACTGAGGGTTGTTTGCTACCACCCTGCTGATTTTGTCAGAAGTGGATTAGAGAAAATTCACACAATCCCTTCTACCGGATTGGCTTTTGGGGCAGAAAACTGCCAGTGGGGTATAAAATACTCAACCAACAAAGCTGGATCTGGACAAAGACATTCCATAGTCTAATTGCATGTCTACTCTGGTTTACAACTGTCCTGTTTCAGACCATAATCTGTTTGCCTAGCACAGTGAAAAAGCATTGCCAGGTCTTAAAAAAAGAATAAAAAAGTGCCAGGAATCTCCAAAGATAATATATCCTCTGAATAAAAACAATACAAGACAGTCAGATTCTTCCGTGTGCATTCTGTTTGTAAACCAGCACTATAAATCATGAAAATTATAGAAGTCAACAATTTAAAAAAAATGCAACTTTATAAAACCAGCATATGTTGCAAGCAAGACACTGCCACGGACAAAAACATATGCAACCTCTGTGCAGTGAGATGGAAATCTATTACTTTTATTTTCTGGGCCACTGAACACCTCAGCTGCATTAAGAAGATGAACTCTTCTGAGTGTAAAAAGAGAAAGTTTCCATTTTGTATAGGCTACCTCTTGCAGCAAAATATTAGCTAATTTCAACATCAGTAACCTAAATGTTACACTCTAAGATAAAACCCAAAAATATTTTCATACAAACATAGCTGAAGACTATAATATCCCCACCCTTCAAACTGTGGCATCCTCCAAGTGGACTGGAACTTACCGCCTGTTACACTTTGCTATTTCATCAAAAAGGAGTTTCCACCGAGGTCGTCCAATCAAAAGCCTTGAGTTTAAAGCTTGATACTTCTCTCCAATTATTTTCTGCAAGAAACAAAAAATTCCAATCTGCCTGATTTGCAAATTGCCTCATATCACCCAGGGCTCCCATTTCTGACATTGGCTGACTTACGATATCGCTGAGGTGTAAAACCTGAGCACAAGTATCAGACAGTTGTGATTAAAACTGCAGCCATTTCATGCACCAATACCTCTGCTCACTGCCTTTTCAATGGCTCTCCTTGGTCTTCATTATACATTGTTCCTCATGCAGCTGCCCATTAATCTCCCCATTACTTTTAAACCAATTTATTTAAGCCATAAAACAATAACCACGTTCCTATTATTCATTCTCTCATTGGCTTTTAATGCTAAGCTGGAAGAAACACTGCTGATGCAAAAAAATCATATTTCTGTCTGAAATATTTTTCTTAACTTTGCACAAGTAACTATTAAGATGACTAGCTCTGAAAAAGTAACAAGGGAAATCTTACATTTCTCCCTGAGAGCAGTTTGCCAGCTGTTTTGAGCAGAAAACAGCCAAAACTTCTCCCTGGGTGGATCCCAACCCATCCCAGCAATGCTAACTCACCAGCATTTTGATAAGGTCAAATGCCCTTCCATTGCAGGGCATTCCCTTTCTGTCCTAGTGCAATAGAAAGGCAGAGGGAAGTTACATTTTATGGGTGCTCCCACATTCTCTCTGCTGCTGAACAACCTGAAACATCGCTCCTACCAATGCAAACAGAGTCTTGGCCAACTCATCCTCCATTGGGCTATTATATATTTTCAAGGAGCATTTGCTGAAGGATGGGCTTGGCTCCCTGTTGGCACACAGGCGTGCTACTTCTGAGCAAAGGGAGCACGAAGCGAAACTGCCCTAGTTTTGGTAGCAGTCAGCATTTTGGACTAACATCAGGGAGCACATAAGTTGAATGGCAATAGAGAGTTGAGTTTAACTCCCCCTTGAGAAATCATGAGCAGCATTACGGTTCATGCCAGTTTTGTTCAACAGCCACAAAAGAAAAGTGACTTTAAAGAAAGACTTAAAACAAAGTTGACTTAAATAAATTCACTAGCTGCTTGATACAAAATATTAGAAAACTTGCTTTGAATTCTCTATTATTACAATCTTGCTGTGTCATTTCAATGCAGTCCTGCTTGGGGTTTTAATTTTAACCTAGCAGTTACATATGAGGTTCACCAATTGGGTATTTGTCACCCAAGCATTAAATCTGTAGAGCACTGTTCACAATGTCTGTAGCTATCACGTCATTTAGACTATTGGATAGTGTTCCTACTAGAACTGTGAATGTTATGCTACCTCCACCTGATACCAGGCAGATCAAAATCCTTTGGACATAGTTTCTCACTGCATTTCATGTTTTGTAGTAGTTGTTAGGCTTGGTTCTGGGCCCACTGCAGTCAATGGAAAGCTTCCAGATGCAGCAGGGTAAAGAATCAGGCCTAGGCTCATGTGCTAAATAATTTAAAATGAAGACTGTAGGTGTAAATAGCTACAGGAGATGCCAAGAGTTGAGGAACTAGCCTAGCTTTGAGGTTGGTAATACACGACAATTGACAGTTCAGTAAAATTTCTAGTCTCATACATTAAGAAATTTGTAACTTTCGTCTATATTTGAGGCAAAGAAACCCAAACCTTTTAAAAGTAGCTAGCTTCTCTCAAAATATTTATTTGAAAAGAAGACTTGAGCTTGCAAGCTCCTGGAACTATTCTGTTTTGAGTCTCAGCCCAGAAATGATGCAGATTTCCCATCAAACACAGCCAACTGTCTGGTCCGTGGCCTGGCCTGGAAGGACCTCTTTCCTAGAAAAGGAAGATGTGGATTTTTGCCTACATCTAATCAAGTTAGGGCTTCTAGACTAGATTTTCTTAATGCTGTAGGTATGGACTTGTTCTCTTGCCCTAGCCATGAATCAGTCACTTGAGTTTATGGCCTCATTTCCTGTTTTTATCATCTGCAGTAATTTCCTTTTGCCTTTGACTGACAGTTTGCATTGTCTACTACCCCAAGGTCCAGTATGGTGTACAGACAGAATTTAGCCACATACCTGTATTCCATCTGTTTGACTGAGGTACAGCTGGATGTTTATATAGTCTGGTCGATTCTCCTGCCAAAGCTGGGGGGATGATAGAAGCAGCTAGTGAAAAAATATCCTTTCTCTCAAGGCAAGTGTAAAGTCACTTGTGCCTACTATTCTGAGAGAATTGGCATTCAGCATCAGTGAAGTATTTTAATGAAGAAGACACGCATGCATAGCACCCCTTCATGCACTCCAGAATGTTGGACGTCATGCTGTGTACAAAGTATTGTTTTAGGAACTACACTGCTCTTAAAATCCACCTGAAATAGCAAATCCCCCTCTCTTCTTAATCTATCTACTAGCCAAATGGTTAAAGGCCACTCAGCTTTCCCAACCTGCACATCCTTCTTCCATCTCATAAGTTCCATAGATAAATATCCAAACTACTGGCACATGGCCACACTGTGCAATAAAGTACTGGTGGAAGATACTCAAACTGTTTTGTGCAGCTCCATGAATAAATAGGGTCTGGGTCAGGTAGCCCAAGCAGAAGTACTGCTGGACCTTGCTTGTTTTGAGCAAGGCTGCCTTTCTCTACAGCATATGAGTTGCGTGGTGTGGACATATTCTGCATTTATTAAGTTGTCAGTACCCCTGCAAGCAGCCCCCATTACCTTGTTATGCAACGTGCAGAGCAGATCTGCAAACCAGCGGAAAGACTCAATGTCCCTGCACACCCAAATGAAGTAGAGTCTTCTGAGCTTGTAGCATTTCCAGCCATCGCTTGAAAATAAAACATTTGGGTAATTAAAAATTATCATTTAAAAATGAAACATTAATTAAGATGCTTTATATTCATTAGTGGAAATGGGAATTTCCATCAGAAGCTAACTGCTAAGTTGTTCTTCATCCTATGATACATCTGACATTGAAATGACCAACGCAGCCTATTATAATGATCCTGAGAATATTAAATCTCTAGCACAGAGCTAACACCCTTCACAGACACCGTTTCTGCATTAGGAAGTTGTCAGCTATACAGATGATTTGGGCAGCAAATACGGATTCATGCATCATCATCAAACTTCTATTTCAAAGCAAAGCGGACATTCTAAGTTCAAGTGTACTGTGTCAATTCTTTATTAGGTTTATAAAGTGACCCATAAGAGGAAAATATTGACAAATGCAATAATGTCAGGACTTAATTCTGCCTTTATATGTGAAAGGCTCTGGTTGATTATAATTAATACTCTAGCAAAATCACAAAGACCAAATCAAATCAGAGCTCCATTGTGCCAGGGAGCTGTGAGATGTATTACAGTCCTCAGAAAATGCCGGTGGGGAAAGTGCAGTCATGGGCAGGCTCTGACACTGCATTTGGAAAAACAGGACTCTCATGTCAGATGTCTAATAGAAATAAAGCACAAATATAGCACAAAGGAAGGACTGGAATGAAATGGGAAAGAAAATAGAAGTGAAAAAAATCTTGACGATTAATGAGTTCAAACAAAGTACAAATACCCATGAAATATCTTCTTAGCTAGCCAATGCTGTTTTCTCTTGTTCTGATCACTCAAACAGCCAGTGCACAGACTGCTTCCTCCTTTTCCTCTAAAAATAATTTTCAGATAGAGAAGGCCATAGCTTGTCAACTTCAAACACTTGTCCCAGGCCAGCCCCAGTCAAAAAGTTTCATGATACATCTCACCATATCCATTGTGTGCTATTTCAAACTCCAGGGTTGCTGGCATTTCCACCAAGAGATCTACCTAAGTGATGACTCCAACCACTGTAAGCCCAAGGAACAAGGATGGAGACATTCTCAGCAGCATGTAGGAGCTGAGAACTTGCCTTTCATGTAAACTCCCCATAGAGAGAAAAAAAATGCTTTAAGACTGGAGTGTATAGAGTCTTTCAAGTCCTGATTTCAGGTTTTTTATTTGTAAACTCTTGACCTGCAGAGAATGATTTCCTCCATCTTTTTTCTGACTGCCTGTACTAAGACAAGCCCTTAGGAAGGGTCACAATCTGGTCAGATGTGACGTGATAACTATAAGCAGTAGCAACGAAAACAAGTGCCTTTCACCATAAAAAAGGATAAAAGAAGAGAAAAATGCAAGGCATTTTGTATTGAACTGCTGTAGCTCAGTAACAAACCACCACTCTCGGTGATGAAATGTTGCAGCTGGACAAAGAAGCCGGGCTGCAAAACTTGATGAAACAAGACAAGCATAGATTTAAAATAGCACCTCAGACGCACATGCTTGGGTCCACCTCCAGCAAGATATATCATGCAATAAAGGTGCAATCCCCTGTTACAACCAAATCCACATGTATGTAATGCTTATTGTGTGTTCCTGTGTTACCACTACCCATAATAACAGCCATCATTTACAGACCATTCTGCCTGAAAGCCACCAGCTTTCCTTAACATGTTACGTTTTCTTAAAAATAAGATATAACGTTCAACAGGTAAGCGGAGGGAAGGGCAGGGGCAGGAATTAAGTTGTGTACACGCAACAGGAACACGACTGAGGAGGAAACAAATGACTATGTTGACAGGCTTCTGATCTCCTCCAAACATGCGTGACCTCCACACAACAGGACTGTCTCCACTGCTCTGCAGCGCTGGCGTCGTGAGGCTGTTTGCATGTTCACACCTGCCAATTTCTGCTTCTAAGCCAAGGCAAAGACAACAGGCAGATTATCCTCTAAACAAGTGCTTTGTTGATGTTTAAATACAGAGAAGGAAAGCAGGCTCAGGCTGTTACTTTTTCCCAGAATCACAGAATGATTCCCCTGCATAATGTTACAGCACACAAGGGAAAGATTGGCTACAAAGGCAGTTTATGGGATTGGCTGCTTAGAAGCTCATTTATGGCTTTATCCAGATACATGGACATCGCAAAAGCTTTTGGACACTAACCTTCTATGGCAATGTCTGTGCAAGTTCCTACAGCCTCTGATAGCACGGCTGGTAGAGGCAAACATCTCATTACCTGCTGTTTGCCCGTCGTTATCACCCGTGACATTTTTGCAAAGCACTGTCAAGGATAATCTATCATGAGGAAATTGGTCATCTCATCCACCTGGGCCCCAGGCTTTCAGCAAAAATGTACCCTTTTTTTCAGAGGATGATCAATACACTCTCAGGAAAAGAAAACGAGGGAGATGAGATGGTCTTTGAGGGCGGCAGCACCATGAGACAGGTGGGACTGACAATTTTCAGAAGCACTCAGCACTGTCAGGTCCAGCCCAGATCAAGGACAGAAGAACGTGCACAGCATCTAAATTCTAGGCTTTCACTTCACTTTGGAATCAGAGCTGGCCATTAGCATGTTCACCTGAGAACAAATCCTTCAGTTGTGCCTTGTAAAACCCTCCCAAAGCCAGCTAGTCTTCCAGCACTTCAGGGAAGGTTTGCTGCTTTGGTTGGCACTCATACAGTGCTTATGAAACAGGGGCGCTTACCCTGCGGCTGGAGCTCTTAGCCAACAATCTAGCCAAAAAAAAAATTAATAAAAACCAATATAATCATAAAAGCAGGCTTATTTCACACTGCATAAGATTTGGTCGGAACCACGTTGCTGATGTGACAGAGGAACAAGAGGTGAAAGGTTTGCTCTGACTAGAATGTCAAAGGGTTTACATTAAAATAAAATAAAAAAAAATTAAAAAGAGAGAAACAAGAAAAAAAAACAAGTAAAGAAAAAGAAATACCTAAAATTTTAAACTTTTTGAATGGAGTTAGACATCCAAATGCTACCTGAATCCAAGTTGATCCATTTCCTTTAAAATCTTATACGTACACATTTACAGAAGTCAAAGAGACCAGGAGAGCTGGCCCGGCATTTCCAGCAAGGAGACTGTCACAACTTCTGACTCTCAGAAATTCACAACTATAATCCATAGCCTCACCTAAGCTGGTACAAGGGGAACAAGGTAACAGAGCTGAAGGGCTGTGACTGCATCAACCACAGACTAGGCTGGTGGCAGGATATAAGGTTAGTGACACTGTTTGCATTACTGGCAAACTCTGCCATGACTCTTTGGGTTATAAAGCCTGTATGTGTTGACTTATGCTCTTCAGGGGACACCTCAGTCCTCTACCTCTCTCCAATGAATCATTCACTTATGTTAATGAAAGTTTTTAAATACTCTGAAAGTCTTTCTGACATGTATTACTAACATAAATTGGGGGAAACAGCTTTAAAAGGCTTAAGCTCACTTACAGCAGTGTGTTGAGTACTGATGCGAATGGTGTAACTCCAATACCTCCAGCCACGCAGAGGCTGACCTCATAGTTCAGGGATTCCTCAAAGGGACTTCCAAAAGGTCCATCCACATACAGTCTGCAGAAAAAGCAAAAAGAGCACTTTTAAAGAAAGCTGCTAAAATCAGAGAAGAGTGGAAAAGGAACATGAGCTGGAATTAACATCCTACAAAGAATTTGTTTCAATTTTTTATTAGTCTTGGGATGCAAAATATGAAAACGTTTTTCCTGGAAAGCTTTATGTAGAGAGAAACCAACGTGCAAATGGTATGAAAACCTGTTATGTGAAATCTCTTGGCACATTCCATAATTAGACAAGCCATCTTATAATCAAACAGGTGGAGGTGACTAAATTATGATGGCCCTTTGTGTCTGATGTCAGAGGGCGAAGAAAGTGCTGCACTGGAAAAAATAACAACTTGGGGAGTCGTAAGCAGGAAGAGACCTTGGCTAGGAGGTTCAGCTCTTGAACATCAGAAACAGCTGAGATTCACAAAGGTGTACAAAAATCTATTTTTCATGGCTTTTCATAATGCTTTTCATGGGCCTCCAGGGAATAAAGAGGTGGCACATATCCTCTTGCAGTGAGCAAGAGAAACAAATTAACATCTATCTACTCTTTCACTTCGCATCCAGACCACTGTGAAAGTAATCTATCCCAAACATATAGAATAACTGAAGTGGGGGAAAACCCACTGAATTTACATCTTTGACTCATACCTCTCATTCTTACAACAGTTTTATTTACCTGTTTTTAAAGATCATTGAGGAGACTGAGTCCCGTTTCCAACCCATTTGTAGTCTTTCAGGTACTGCTGGAAAGTCAGTTGACTATAATTTAAAAATGGGCTTTTAGACATCTTCAAAAATTTGACCTCCAAATCTTTTCCACACTGCTGAAAGTCTGACCAAGGTCACCCATAGATAGCTCAAAATTCATTGTCTGTCATATCTCTAATAAGATTCATATACCCCCAATTCTATTTATGGAATACCAATCTTCAGTAATGGATTCACCTTTAGAAACTATTATGAAGAGAACTTGAACAGTACATTTAGGCAATGTCCATTCTGTGTATGAGTGTCTCACTGGATCATCCCATTTTAGGTAACTGGTGAATACAGCAAATTGTGGTGGGACCAGCACTGCATTCAGCAGCTCAGTGACTAGGTGTTTGCTCACAGCTAGACCGACTGACATCAACCTTTGGCCTGAGTCCACACAAAAGTTCCAATATTTTTATACACACATACTGGTACTGTTATGCAACTAAGCTAGGCATACTATTTGTCTAATAAAAGGGCATAAGTTTCTCTGTTATACCATCAGTCAGAGAATTAAAGGTAGAGGAGATGTCTCTTTTCCCAAAGTTCTCTAACCCTCATCTGATTCTTTCCTATTGAGGGATAAATCTTAGCCATAACTTAAGATCTCAGTCTGATCTCATTTCTTTTAGTTTTGTGGTCTGACCCTTGGCATCTTGTCTTGTCAAGACAACATCTTGTCTAGGTGTCTTTGGCCAATATGGTCCTTTCTATGAAATTTCTTCCAGACCTCTGCCATTGTTGACATCTTGATGCCTCATATGTTAGGCTCCTTCTTCTATAGTGTCTTGTCTAAACACAGATAAGTACCTACTTTCTGATTAATCTGGAGGCAAACAGATGCCTTAACTATGCCCTGTCTTATAAACTCATTTCTTGGCTCTTGGTGTCCTGCCTGGAGACAAAGGGAGAAGACACCGGGCCAGCCACAGCCATCATCAGAAAGCATTGGAATTGCTCTCAGTAGATGTTTTTAAATAACTATCTTGATTCCTCACTGATATTCATAACTAATCATTCTATAACCCAAATATGCTTATTCTTATTTTTCTCTGTCTATTCTGAAGTCATTATAGTATTCTACAAATGTTCTTTTGGAGAATCTCAAAGCTTTTCAATGTCAGGTATGTTAGTAACAGCATGACGAGAATACTAGAAAAACAAATTTACTCCTTACTTAGGATGGATAAATCCTTTTCCATAATGGGGCCAAAAAACCCCTTAATTGGACATGTGCAGATGATATAAACATAACTTTAAGTATCTTCTCATTAAATGTTTCCTGTTACATAACACTTTATAGACCATTTTCTTAACCAGGTTTTTTTATTCCACTAACAAAATGAGACCACTGCTGGTGCAGAGTGCAGCAGCAGCTACTTTAGGAGATCTTCTAAATGTTGCACTGTCATTTGACTGAGGAGGTAAAGAAGCGCCTCTTATTTAAATAAGCAACAGGGGAAATGTAGAGAAGCAGGCCATTACTCTGAAATTAATCTAGTCCAAGGGACGTTTTGAGGGAAAGTCCCTCAAAACAGCTATTATGTGTCTCAGATATGTATCTCAACAGAGATCTAATTTTGGGATATCAGTGTAGGGAAAAAAGAAAAAAAAAAAGAAAAAAAAAAAAAAAGATTTACTGGATAACAAAGCAACTGAAGTCCACTGTCATTCCTGGCATACCTCTTATCCATATGCTGCCCTGATCAGATCCTTCCTATCTGGTGAAATCTGGAGAGTTGTTCCTAAATGTAGGAAGGGCACAAGCCTGAGGGAAATTCCTTGCATTTTGCACAAGGAACACTAACTTTCACTTGGTTATACAGACTTCAAGCCAACATATTGGGGGAAAAAAACACAAGCAAACAAAACAAAAGCAACTAGCAAAGGAGATTTTTCCAGAAATTAGGACAGTGGATGCGATAATAGTCATATACTGTAGGGGAGCGACTCAGCAGAGTTGTACTCAAGCCTACATGAGCACTGTTTGAGGTATGTATGTATGTCTGATCTCAGAAGGGATTAAGCAATTCCTGGGAAGTCTGAGTGGCACTGAATACCACTGACATGATCAGGAGTCGAAACATGCAAAACCAGATCTGGTCACCGCAAACCAGTCAAGTATGGTGCATAATTCTATGCCAGAAATTCAAGGAACAACCTTCAATTGAATATGTATTTTGGTCAGATTGCTCCAGTTTGTGGCCCATTAGCCCCATCTGGCCCGCAAAATATTTCTATCTCCCCACTGCGTCTTCCTCTGAGGGAGTAAGGAGCAGTTGTTTGGACAGCAAATGCAGTCAGAGGAGCCAAGAGCCTCCTGCTGTGCCTGCATGTGGCCCAGCACAGAACAGCCAGAAATCACTGCTTCCAAGTGTGAGAAATGGGAGAAAAGCTGCAGAAATATTGCTACTGCATTAACCCACTCCACAAGACTGCCTCAAAAGGCTGATTCCAAAGATAACATGGCCTCCCTGGAAGATTTGTTTGGATATCATAAACATGCACTATATAATCCCATTTTACTATGGGGGTAATTTATAACTAAAAGAAAGGTGACTCTGATGCCCTGATGGAGGTGGTCAGTTAGGAATCCATCCTTCTTTTATTCAAGTCAGTGGAAGAAAAAAAAAACCCTCATAATGCGGTATCAAACAGAGCAGTGATTCAGTCATGGACTTTTGGAGAGATTATGCAACTTTCGCTTCCTGTCAACATGTTCCTCCTTTCATTTGGTAATACTGAAAAGTTTTGCATAAAAGCAGTTCATTATTGCAAATGAAATCTCACAGCATTCAATAAAAAGACAGACAAGCCAAGGGGGGTAAGAGGACTTTTTGTTTCTTGTGTCCCAGATATATCACACTACCATGCTATGCTCTCCTATCCCCCCAGCTTTAATTTAATTAACATGAAGGAAGGGAATGGAATTTTACTAAAAGTTTAGAAATTCCCCCTTCAGGCAAACTTATTCAAATAATGAGTTGTTCTTTTCACATGTATTCATTTCCAGTCTTAAGAGTGCTCTCAGTTATTCTGGCACAATTTCTTAGCTCACAAACAGAAAAAAGGCTCCTCAAAACAGAACATATCACAAAAAGTAGCAGAACGCATCATTATAAAACATCTTACAGATAGCTGGTGAACATATTTTCTATTTAAAGCACCCTTACAGTACAGCAGTACTGGAATATCCCAGCAAGCACCAAGACAGCTTATTCCAGAGCTGGGCAATGCAACTGCACTAACACAGGGCTGTACCTAAACCAAGGGACACTGTCTCAGGGACACAGGCAGCTGTACTGCTTTTGGGACCCAAGTTATTATCTTCCATAAGGAACTGCACAGTGATATGTGGAGACACCTACTCACACCTCTGTCAGACTTGGATCTCAGCGCCACGCTTCAGGGTATAGGTGCCCTTAGACAAGTTTAATGCTTATACTGTCCTTCACTACGCAACTGTAAATGCTAATATTATATTTTTTTCCAGGCTCTTTGGGAGCTACTGTGAAACATTATTGGGGATATTAGTGAAGTAACAGATGGATAGGAGACTTAATTCAAGAGCTTGTAGGAAATTTTAATTAAAAAAGTATCAGCATTTGCAAGTTGAACAAAATGCTTGGATACAAAGTACTGCATAGAGCACAAAAAGTGAAGTCCTAGTCTGACTGACGTTTGTGGCAAAAATCTTACTAATGTCAACAGAGATTTCACCCAGCAGCGTGAGATTTTATATCCTTGGGACAGTGTTCAGTTTGTTACTAAGACCCAGGTGGAGGTACCTTTGTGTGAGCATACTAAGTCCCCAGTAGTCAAAGGAGATGCAGTCAATGCAGTTAATGGAGCCTAGAAAGGCATTAAGGATGTGATGAATTGCTCACTATGTCTGCTGACTGTACTGACTCAATTCAACAGAACCTTAGAGATCAGAGTCCCTCTGGAATGGCAGATGAAGGCCAAGCAGAACTGAAATGGCACTAGACACCTAGCCTAAGGCACCTGAATCCAGACCTAGGCATCCACTGAGATAATTGGAGCTTTAATATCTAGCTCACAGACAGACACCTACTTTTAGATGTCTTCAGCTGGAGCTGAATCTCTGCTCTGACAAAAAACTCATAGCATTGACTTCAACAGGTTTTGGATAGTTCTCCAAAATTAAAAAAATCAACTAAACAATCCTTCTCCCACACTTACTCTTCTCTTTAACTTTTCGTACCAAAACCAAAGCTCAGTACTGCTATAATG